GTGGTCGTCCAAATCCGGAAAATTGGATATTGAGGCCTCTGCTAATGTAGATATGTGGGGGTGTCGATAAATGGAGGTACCCCAAAATGGATGGTTATTTATAATGGAAAATCCTACTAAAATGGATGATTTGGGGGTACCCCTATTTTAGGAACACCCCATGTGATGATACGTGACATGTTCCAAATCATGCGTGAACGATCTGGACACCCACATTGCAGACGGTGGCTGAATGTTTCACCAAGAGACCCTCGCAGCAGCCCATGGCTGCATTGTGAGGACAGAGGATAATGTTGATACCATTGACTGTCCTGCAGAGTTGGGAGCATAGCTAGCGGCAAGGGCAACTCGAGGTACTGCAACATGTTCACATCAGAGTTTAAGGCTGCGTTTGAATTTGACAGGAGACAGTGCTCATGAAACCAGAGTTATCTTGGAGCGAAAGACTTTGGAGTCACAGTGTAGGGTGGGCTGGGTGCGGTGAAGTGGAACTGGGTCGGGGCTCTATGTTGGTAACCTACAGGGGCGGCAGTAGCTTGCTAGCTTTAGGTGCGGCGAAGTGGTGCTGGCTCATGGCTGTATGTGGCGACCTGAAAGGGCGCAGTAGCTTGTTGGCTTTCAGTGCTGGCTCAGGGCTGCATGTTGGCACCTACAGGGGCGGCGAAGTTGAGTTAGCTGGGGCTCAAGAGTTGGAGGTCCTCAAAGGCCAAGCAGGAAGTTAGCTCGCACTGGCTGGTTGGGGCGAAGTGGTTGCAGCTTCGGGCTGCAGGTGTGCCTGCAGAGCGTGGAGGCTAAAAGTTGGAAGAAAGGCAAAGTAGCTTGCAAGGACGAGTGAGGTTGGAGTAAACCAGGAAGGTGGCAGCGTGTGGCAGCAATATCAACAGCTTGCTACGGTCAAGCCAAACAAACAGGAGCTGGCTTGTGGCTGTAGGTTTGGCAAGCTGGGCAAGCAGGACCCGCAGGGCAAAGTGGTAAGCAGGGGAGTGCACAAAGGTCGGGTGGGGCGAAGCCGGTTACCCTGATGGGCTGCAGGTGGGCAACCTAAAGAGCCGATGTGGAGGTTAAGGTTTTGAGTCACGGGGCAGACGCGGGCTACAGTAGCTTCAATGCGTGATGTCCCAAAACAGAAGACACTTAAAAAGTTTACTTGTCAGAATGATAAATGAAGTTTCGCCTAGATACCTGTTCATGATTGGTGCTAGTGTTTGTCTCTTTTCTTCTTGGTGAGGCAGCACTCCTTACATCCGCGGTTCGTTTTTTTTTTTTTTAATGGCAAGTGTAGAAGGTCATATTTGAAAGTCAAGAGCGGAGCAGCAACAAACACAGTATATGGAGCTATGTTGGAAAGTCAAGAGAAGTAATGTTCAAAAGCCAAGATCGTAGCAGCAAGAACGTAGCAGGAAATGATGTTTGAAAGTCAAGGGCGTAGCAACAACAAACAGGAAGTTATGCTGAGCCCAGTGGTTAAACCTAATTTCTGTATTTATGAGTATGTATGTATGCATGCATGCATGCATGCATGCCATGAATGCACGTCTGTCTATTTGTCTGTCTGTATGTCTGTATGTCTGCATGTCTGCATGTCTGTATGTATGTATGTCTATGTATATATATATATATACGTGTGTATATATATATATATGTATGGATGGATGGATGTATGGATGTATGGATGTATGGATGTATGTATGTATGTTTGTATGTATGTACGTACGTACGTACGTATGTATGTATGTATGTATGTAATGTATGTAATGTATGTATGTATGTATGTATGTATGTATGTATGTATGTATGGTATGGTATGGTATGTAATGTAATGTAATGTAATGTAATGAATGTATGTATGTATATATATATATATTTAAATGCTGAATAATCTATATAGAAGGAGTCGGGTATATACTTAGTATTGTTAAGTACTCGTGCACCCAATTTTCTCCGTAAAATAGTAGTTAGTAGTAAACCCAATTTCCAATCCGTTCGAATCTGTCCATCCTTGTTCAAGTATCATAATAAGGTCTTTTTATCCCCATGTATGAGGTCTGTAATCATAAGGCCCGCAGGGCCCGTAGAGCCCGTGGGGCCTGAGGGCCCGTGGAGCCCGTGGGTGTTGGGAAGGGCTCTTCTCGGGCAAGCCTGTGATCACATCGCTTTGATCGCACGACCAAGCAGGGTGGCATGTGTCGTCGGCTACGAAGGCCAGTTTCACACCGATACAGGTGGAGTTTGAGAATCAGAACGCGCTGCAAAAAAAAAAACACGTTTAAACTGCTCGTTTTTTCTGCAGAGTGGTATCTGACAGGAAAACGCAAGCGCATCTCCTAGTTCTGACAGAAAACAAATACTCGATGCTGTGGTAGGGCAGAAAACACATCTACCAGAAAACACATCCCCAAAACCAAACTTGGATGTCAAGAGAGCGCATCCCGAACAAAAGATTGACGGACGAAATACACACACAGACACAAAACGAAAAAAACAAAACCTTTGACACAACTCATTCACTAGAGAATTGCCGAGCCAACAAATCGACCTTGGACCAATGGTTTCGATCTGTCGCCAGCCCGGTCCAGCTTTCCACCAAGGAGCGATAATTAGTCTTGCATAAACAGCACGCTTTCCCATCCTGCAACCTTGAGCCCAAAAACTTATCAACTGTCTCAACCTTTCATTCATGCCCAAGACCGAACAAAAATCATCTCTGCAGCAAATCATTTTTTTGCTAACTTCAGCTATCCCTACCCCAAAGAAAACGCTGCTCAATGAAGTTTATGCATGAGTTGCCTCAGGCTATATATAATATGTTTCCTCATGTAATGAGTTTAGATGTATGACTGGGGGACATCACACCTGTTGCAATGGCCGGATGGACAAAGTGGAGTTACTAGCTTGGGGCTGATTGGCAACCTATGCACGGTGAGGAGCTACAGCGTAATGTTGTTGCTTTTGCAGGTCCGGAGATCTCACCCAAGTCCCTGAGGCGCGCTGTCGGCTTCACACGGGGCATCATGACAGCGAAATCACAGTTTCTCCAGACATGCTGATATCTTATCTGCAAGAAAGAGCTACAGTGACACTGATAATTTCGCTGGCTTGGATCATTGGTTAGCACATGTTAGCACGTTTTCGCCCATGTCTCCCAGCCTTCCAGCGTGTGATAGTAACTAAACCGCTTAAATGCGCATCTCCAGGCCTTGTCAGGAAGCGGTACAGAAGAATGAAAACCAACACCGAAGATCCCTTTGTATAGTGGCACCCCCAACTTCTTATTGCAAAAACAGGATTTGCTTGAAATTTACGTACCCTCCACCCTGCTGGAGAAAGATGCTACTCCCCACCTAACTGCGGCTGCAAATCCAATCTGTTCAAAAATTTGGATGCAAACATGTTCCTCTGGAGAGAACCCAACAAGTACTGTACAGCAGAGGGGGTCTCAGATGTTTGCAGGCAGACGATGTCCAGGAGGAAGATGAGGTCTGGATTTGGGCTGTTGCTGAATCGCTGAAACTGCACCAGGTGGCAACAATGAAACCAACGATAAGTGAGACTAATCAGGGCAGTAAACAGATCCATGATCAAAAAACATGATCTCGATCACTACCATGATCACGATCGCTGGCTGTTAAGGTCCTTCTTGTCATGGCTCCACCTTGATAGACACAGCAATAGTGATGGGCATGACCATTCGTGTCATCATCTTGGATGCAAGATGTTAGCTCATGTTAGCTCACGTTAGTTCAATTATTTCTTTTAGCTTATGACACTTCTCTTCAGACACACCCCACCAATTTGGGCCATGCAGGAGAGTGAAGATGGCAGTAGCGCTGGAGAGTGGGTGACGGAGGCATGAGCTCTGCAGCTTTGCGGTTTCATGTTTCTTCTTGAAATCATTTATAGTTGAATCCATTCAGCAAGCTAATTCAGTCTAGTATTCGGCATGTGGTCAATATTCAAATTCAGCAAAGTACCTTGAGCATGGTGTTTTTGGATTGGGAATCCTTTTGTCAGTGCAGTGGGCCGGCTCAACATTGGACATCAATCACCAGGTTCAAGGTGTAGAAGCAGATGCTATTTGTGCACCCCCCATCCTATATGAATTGACGTGGGCTTGGTCAGATTTATTTGACCCTAGTGAGCAGAAATTACTTTTTCAAGGCTCCAGGTACAGCATCAAAATTCAATGGGTGCATTTTGCATACAAGATTGCAGATTTAGGCGTGTGACAACGACAGTAGACCATTTGGGCTCCCTTGGGGGAGCGTCCGGTGAAAGAAGGCGCAGGTATTCATGATGCCCATCCGCACACACATATCATTAACTTCAGTCCCAACAGCTGCAGGAAAACAAGCACAGATTTGGCATTGGCGCCGGGATCCCCACAGTCTGCAAAGCGTTCAAATGTGAAATTCAACATCAGAGATTTTTGTTTACTGTTTTTGATATCGCTGCGATTTGGAAAAGCACCCGCACTCGCAACAACCTCCACAGACCTCCCCCCAGTGCATTTGCTGCTGCCAGATTCACCCCGACGCCGATGTGCACATCACTTGCGCTACAGCAGACTATTCTGTCCAGAACGTGTCCCGCTGGTGGAACGGGAAGGTGTTTTGGAAAGAGATTATTCAGCGGGATTTTTGCGCAGGGGAAAATCACATCAGACAAGTTTCAAATATTCTGGTTCTCAAATGATGAGGTGCCATGACAATATTCTCAAGTTCCAACGTGGAAGTGAGAGATCTTGAAAGCAATTTGGCAACTGTTTGCCCATCGCCGATTTTCGTCGCTCATGCTCAGACAAAGACGGCAGGTTTTTGCTCCGGTTTTGTGATGGCATGCAAGCAACAATTGCTCTTCAGCACAGATTTGCACAGAGACTGAACCGAAGGTTGGGGTTGACCTTGATTGGCGCAGTTTTTGCAAAGTCCAGCTTCCATTTTTCCAGGGGAGCGGCATGGCTGTTCAAATTCAATGCTTGCTTGGGACCACATTACTAGACATCACACTCCATTGTCCATGGCGCCTCCGTGGCAGAACGGGTGGCTTTTGCCACAAGGGATGACAGAGCTCGTGGCGCCACATGGGAAGTTTGGTTTTTTTTCCACTCTGGGACTCAGCCCTGCAGGGCTCAGTGCTGCAGCTTCGCAGACCTTAGCGGATTTGAGCGACATCCTCAAGTGCGATGGAGGCTTCTGAGACTGAGCCAGGTTGTGACACAAGGATTCACAAGGAGATACTTGCAGATTTTTGCTGGATGCAAACGTGTAGAAGTATAGACACATGATGACACATGTATGTTTAGAACGAGGCAGCTGGATGTTTATAATGAGAGCGCACATGCATCTATTAACAGGCTCTCCCGTTCTGTATGCAGGAAGCACATAGGTGCGGGCATACATGCAATGTGACGTAAACTATCGCTACGTGAAGCAGCGTAAACTGAATGCAATGCACTGTATGTATGCATGTTTGTATGTGTGATTATGTGTGTCTGTTTGTATGTGTGCATGATGTTTTCTGCGTGCAGCGGATGTCAAGTTTGTAAAAACTGTTTTTTTTTTTGTGTGTGTGTGTGCGTGTGTATGCAATGCAATGCAATGTAATATAATGTAATGCAATTCAATGTAATGTAATGTAATGCATGCATGCATGTATGTATGCCGGCAGTCGATCAAAAGGTCCTTGTACGGAGTTTTAATGCGAAGTTGGAAACCCTCACAAAAGATTTTTTCGAGTTCGCGACAGATTTTTACTCGCGAAAGTGTCGCGAAAGTTGGATATTATGAATCATTATCATTGTATATATAAAGCTTCCGAAGGTGAGCCAAATACCATGGTCTTGAAGCACCTCCTTGCACCTGCCGCTGGTACTGCCTAACGTTGCTTTCTGAAGTCTCACGAAACAAGCTCCAAATGTAGCAGCCAAGCTTCCAAAAGTGAGGCTTTGCGAGAGCCAAACACCGAGGCTCCTGGCCTTTGCTTTTCCTTTGATGCGCCCCCTGCTGATGGCTGGGGTCTGCAGATAGGGGTATTTTCGCGAAAGTTTTGCGAAAGAGTGGGCGAAAGTCAAAGTGCATGTTGAAGGGGGTGGGTCAGTAAACCTTGCAAAAAAAGAAACTAGTCAGCAACAATCTGCCCTGAGAAGGGGATTCCGTGATGCTAGCTGCATGTTTACAAGGATATGAAGAAGTTATCCGTGAGAATTTAGTGTGGCTTGGCAGGTGATGAGTGAATCTTCATAAGAGGAGTTGTTGCTCAACATGGGTTTCCGCCAAAGGTGAACATGGAGTTCGCGAAAGATTCGCGAAAGAAACATTTTTATTCGCGAAGAATGGCCGTTGCGGGAAAAGGGAATTTCGATCAACCATCATGTATGTATGTATGTACGTATGTATGTATGTATGTACGTATGTACGTATGTACGTATGTACGTATGTACGTATGTACGTATGTGCGTATGTACGTAATGTACGTATGTATGTACGTAATGTACTAATGTACGTATGTACTAATGTACGTATGTACGTATGTACGTATGTACGTATGTACGTATGTACGTATGTACGTACGTACGTACGTATGTATGTATGTATGTCTGTGTGCGCATGTTGGTGATGATGAGAAAGTTTGAAAGATGTGCAACCTAAGCCATGTATGCAAAATATGTGTATGTGTGAATGTAAGCATGTACCTAGCACGCGTGCACACACATATCACAAATGTGTTAGGGGCGAGTGCTGCTGGGGGTGAGCGTTGCCTCAGCGCAGGTTGCACCATGGAAGACTGGCAACACTTTGCCGCCAGTGGTGTCTTCCAGGGCCAGTGGAGATCGTGGCTGAGACCGCTGACCGATGCCGATGGAAATTGCTGGGAGGCCTTGTCGGGTAGCGGCACCTGCGCTCCAAAATGATAATCAAAATATGACAAATAAAAGGAGTACTTGTTTAGGGCATTTTGTTTACTCTGCTTTTCTGCTTTGGTTTGCTTCTCTGCTTTTTTGCTTCTCTGCTGTTTTTGTTTTTCTGCTTTTTCTGCTTTTTTGCTTCTCTGCTTTTTTGCTTCTTCGCTTCTCTGTTGTTTTTGTTTCTCTGCTTTTCTTTTTTTTATGTTCTGCTTTTTTGCTTCCCTGTATTTTTGTTTTTTGGTTTTGCTTCTACGCTTCTTTGTTTGCTTCTCTGCTTTTTTGCTTCTCTGGTTTTCTGCTTCTCTGTTTTTTGTTTCTCCATTTTTTGCTCTCTGCTTTGTATTTGTTGTGCTTTCGTTGCTTTTTGTTTTTCTGCTTGCTTCCTTGTTGTTCTGCGTGATTACAAGTGCAGCTGGAACACATGAAGAACAGCACCAGCAGCACAAACAGTAAGAGCAGCAAATACACAAAAGGAACGACGAGAATAACAAACTCAACAAGAGCAACAAGAAGAACAAGAGAAACAAGAACAACTACAACAGCAAAGGAGGAACACAACCGAAGTTGTCTCTGTATTCCTTTGGGGGGGAGGCGCTGCGCCCTCGCCTCCATGCACCCCTCCAGCTGTTTCTAGGTTGTTGTTGCGCGCTTTCATTTTTGCCCTTTTTGGTTTCTTTGCGTTGGTGTACAGTGTAAAGACCATGATGTAAATGAGCTGGTTAACAGGTTAAGGTTTCACCATGATTGAAATATTCACCAGAATGGAAAGCCGCCATGCAAACTGGAAGGTTTAAGTTCAAACATGCTGCAAATGTCACTTGATATCATTTGCAAAATCTTGCAAATACCATGCGCCATGAAAGGGTCTATATATCTTCCAAATGCCGCAGATGCCATTCAAAATGAGAGGTTCTATCTCCACAATGCAAGTTGATGTTGCAGAATGCTGAAAATATATTGCAAATACCACGCAAACTCTGTTGTTGTTTCTCTGTTTTTTGGCCTAGTGGTTTCACAAGTTTTCTTTCTTCTTGGCTTTGCAAAGCTTTACTTTGTCCGCTTCATGGCTTTATTTGTGCTCACCTGTTCACCGCAACCAAAGCCACAAGCGTAAGGAAATCACAAACACGGCCTACACCCGAACAAAGACCATGCCAGCAAAGAAGCTACTATTACGAACTACAACTGTAGCTACAAATTCAAAAGCTACAGCTACCACAACAGCTACAACTGCAACAAGAATAACAAAACACACAAGAACCCAGAACTAACAGACGACAACCAACAACCAACAACTAACAACAATTTGCAAATAGCATGCCAAATGGAAGATTCCAGCTCACACATATATGCAAATATCATGCAAGATCCAGCTGGCAAGCAAATGGAAGGTTCTAGCTTCCAAATGCTGCAACTAGTAAGCCAAATGGAAGGTTCCAGCTGCAAAATGTTGCAAGTAGCATGCGAAAAGGAAAGTTCCAACTATAAAATGCTGCAAGTAGTATGCAAATGGAAGGTTCTAGCGTTATGCAAAATGAAAAGTTCCAGCTCCAAAATGTTGCAAATGATTGCAAATGATTGCAAATGATTGCAAATGATTGCAAATGATTGCAAATGATTGCAAATGGCACGCAAAAGTGGAAGGTTCCAGCTCCCAAATGCTGCAAATAGCATGGAAAATTGGCACGGCCAGGAATCCAAAAAACATTAAACCAAACAAATACGCCGGCAAGAGGCCCCAAACAGTGTGGGGGGTAGGAAGTCAATGTACCAGATACAAGCAACAGTAGCTATGGAACAGTTACACATGACCGCTCAAAGATAGATCTTCATAGATAGAGCAGCTCAAAGATCTTCATACAGGAACTTCCTATGAGCATTCCACAAGAACTTTCACACAAGCACCATCGCAGAGGATCTGCAAGATCTTAATGCAAGGACCCCTTGAGGAAGATTTCAACAGGATCCCCGCAAGATCTTCACACAAGGACCTGTACGAGATGGCTCTTCAAGAGCTTCTCACAAAGGACCTGTGCAAGATCATGCAAAGGCTCATGCAAAGGCCTCTGACAGCATGCCACTAGGATCTCCACAAGACCTTGACCAAGATCGTCACGCCAGGACCCATGAGAGAAGCTGACAAGATCCTCATAAAAGGACCTGCTGCTGGAGGGGATCTTACAAGATCTTGATACAAGAACCTCTCAAGAGCATCCCAGAAGAGCCCTGATACAAGTACGTCTAAGACATGGCATCTGCAAGATCTTCAGGCAATGAGCTCGTGAAGTGGACCTAACCAGGATCTGCACAAGATCTTCTGAATAGGACCTGCACGGGATAACGCAAGACCTCTTAGAGAGGAATATATCAGGATCTCAACAAGATCTTCTTATAGGGACCTGTGCAAGATCATGCAAGGACCTCTTAGACGAGGATGTCACCCAGATCTTCATAAGATCTTCTCACAAGGACCTGTTCAAGAACATGCAAGGACCTGTGACAGGATTTCATCGGGATGTGCGCAACATCTTCTCACAAGGATCTCCACAAGAGCTCTGTCAAGATCTTCATAGATCACTGGGCCCACCAAGAGTGCAGCATGAAACTCTAGCAAGATCGTGATAGAAGGGACCAAGAGCGGGACAACCGTTTTGTGCGAGCCTGCACAGTCGAAACACACATGAACATCTCACAAAAGCCATTTTATGCAAGGATTTTAAGGAAAAATGCCGTGCCACCAAAGTGAGGCGCACGTTTGTGCGAGCATGCGCAGTCAAAATGCACATGGACATGACACAAGGGCCATTTTATGCGAGAATTTAGAGGGAAAATGCCGCAGGACAGGTGGAGCACCCTGATCAAACCCCGTCCCTTACACTTACCATCACTTACCGTAAGAACCCCTCAGCGTGGACACACCGTTTGCGGACCAATTTGCTTAAATAATTTCCTACCCAAATAAAAACAGCATCTTCAGGTTCAAGGCAAAAAGCATGAGGAAATTACATCGGCAAGAGGCCCCAAACAGTGTGGGGGTAGGAAGTCAATGTACCAGATACAAGCAACAGCCATACCAGAACCTCATACCAGGACATCTAAGAGAACATCAGAAGATCGTCAGAGAAGGGCCTTCTATCTAGGAACTTCCTATGAACATGATTGAAAAAATACACAGGCACCAATGCAGAGCATCTTCAAGATCTTAATGCAAGGACCTCTTGAGAAGGATTCCAACCGGATCTCCACAAGATTTTCTCACAAGGACCTGTACGAGATCATGCAAGGACACCTAGAGGATTTCACCAGGGCCTCTTCAAGATCTTCCCACAAGGACCCGTACAAGATCATGCTAAGGCATGTTGCCGCATTTCACTAGGATCTCCAAAAGATCTTCTCAGAAGGACGCGTGCAAGACCTTGACCAAGATCTTCATGCCAGGACCCATGAGAGAAGCTCACAAGCTTGTCATCAAATCACCTTCTGTTGAAGGGGATCTTACAAGATCTTGATACAAGAACCTCCCAAGGGCATCCCACAAGAGCTGTCATACAAGCACCTGTAAGACATGGCACCTGCAAGATCTTCAAGCAAGGACCTCTTGGAGAGGATCAACAGAAGGACCTCACCAGGATCCCCACACGATCTTCTGACAAGGACCTCAGAAAGATCATGCAAGGACCAAGACGGTGGCAACAGCTTTGTGTGTGTGTGCGTGTGTTCTCTTATGTTGCACACAGCCGGCGCCCACCAGGGTGAGTGGCTGGAGGCAACGTTCGGGCGCCTGAGGCGCTGGGTACAAGACTGTTCGAAGAAGAACTTCGCCACCAACATGCGTACTGGGTACAGTCGATTGGCATCGCCAATCACTCTTCAGCCAATTAGCTTGCCGCTCTTCTGGCAGTGCTCATTCCTTGATGGTCAAGCACCATCTGCACTCAATTCGGTGACAGGCCCATGCCCATCACGCATTCAATTGAACCGTTGGTAGCCAGCGGGAGGACAGTACGACCGAGGCAAAGAGGCAGCCACGGTAGACAGCCTGAAGAAGAGCAGCCGCCAAGTGCACCCAGCTGGCCACGCCAAGGAAGTGCTTCTCCAGCCGCTAGCAAGTGCCGAAGCTCACCTGCATCATAAAAGCTGGGCCAAGCGCTCAGCTCCACCAAAATCCCGTCACGACCAGGGAGGTGTTTCTCGTCCGGAGTGATGAAACCGGATATCGGGTCAATTCCCGCAGCCACACCAGGCCATGGCTGCGCCCCCCCTCTCGGGGCAACGGCTTTGTGTCAGCCTGGTGGAAAAGCGCATGGACGTCTCGCAAAAACCGTTTTATGCGAGAAATTAAAGAAAAAATGCCGCAGACCAAAACCAGGACAACCGTTTTGTGCGAGCCGAGCCTGCGCAGTCGAAACGCACATGGAAATGTCACAGGGCTATTTTATGCAAGGATTTGCAGGAAAAATACCGCGCCCCAACGCTGGGACAACCGATGACCACCGTTTTGCGCAATCGAAATGCACATGGACATCTCGCAAGAACCGTTTTATACGAGAATTTACAGAAAAAATGCCGCGCCCCAAGACCGGGACAACCGTTTTGTGCGAGCCGGGCCTGCGCAGTCGAAACGCACATGGACATGCCGCAGGAGCCATTTTACGCAAGAATTTACAGGAAAAATACCGCGCCCCAACGCCGGGACAACCGTTTTGCGCAATCGAAATGCACATGGACATCTCGCAAGTGCTGTTTTATGGGGGAATTTAGAGGAAAAATGCCGTGCCCCAAGACCGGGACAACCGTTTTCCGCAAGCCTGCGCAGTCGAAACGCACGTGGACATGTCACAAGAGCCACATTGTGCCAGAATTTTTACAGGAAAAATGCCACGCCCCAAGATCGCGTCGCAGACTTTGCGCGAGCCTGCACAGTCGAAACGCACATGGACATGTCGACAAGAACAATTTTTGCGAGATTTACAGAAAAAATGCCAGAAACCAGATGGAGCACCCACTGATCAAGCACCGGCCTTAACTCCTACAGCACCGGTCTACCGTAAGAACCCCTCAGTGTGGACACGCGGTTTGGGGGAAAATGTTTTCAAAGAGTTGTGTGGCTTTACCCCATGGACGCCTGTCCTAGTTTGCCCAGCTACTAAGAACGAAGGTGCCTCCTGTTGAGCTGGAAGCGGTACGCTTGCGTTTCGGCTCTGGCTCTTGCAGCGCCCTTCCACTAGCACAGCTTTCCGTGGCTTCCGAAGCATCTTTGTGGTTGCTGTGCAGACCATTGGCCTTGCTGTTTGGCCTGGCGCTCTTGGAGGAGCTGGACTGGTCGGCAAATTTGAAAATTTCAACTCTCAACACGGGAAGGTAGGTAGCGAAGAAATGCGAACAGGTAATTTGGGTAAGATTGAGGAAGAGGCCACAAGATGTTTATTGTAAGAGAGGGTCAAGGACAACGTAAGTTTCTGAGCGCAGTGATGAGTTTTATTCTTCGGCTAGGTGCTCTGTGGAAGGAGGATGCTTTGTGGTCCGGTGCAGGCAACCATGTATTCCTTTAATTCTTGGTCGAACTGGTCGGCCAAGGC